TCTAAGTATTAAATCAGACTGCATGAAAACAACATATAATAAATAGTTTATATTATTATAAAAAAATCAACATATAATAAATTAGCTAAGAGTTTTAAGGTGTGAAGCCTAAGTTTTGGGATCGTGCTCTGTCATTGACATACACTTATCTGAAGACGCATCCTTTTCTCTTATTTCCACAATTAAAATGTTAGCTTTACTTGAACTTATTTTAGGGGAAATTTTAAGGAATGTTGATACTTTGAGTGATATGCCAATACATGGGTTTTTCATTTAGGAGATGGAAGCATCAGGTCTACATGATCCATGATGGTCTCAAAATGCTCAAATAAGATCAGTATGAATATGGCTTATGTATGCTTGTGTGTTTATAAAAAGAACAACTCAGCAAATATATCATCATCACATGATTCGCTTAAAAACAAATCAAAGAATTGCATATCATATTGGACATAATCATAATCATTCGACGGAAAGCTTGATACTATGTAAATAGACAAAGGCCGAATGTATTATTACCTTGCAGAAGATGTATACCTAAAAATCTATTACTACGAACCGATGATCACGAACCGGCTAGAGCCACTCGTGCTGATAACGTGTTGTAATATACTAAAGAAATGAAAACAAGAGACAAGAGACAAGAGAAGAAGAGAAATTGTAATCTTTTATTCATCTAATTCCATTTCCATACATGGTCCAATTTATAGATACATGATGGAATAGAAAATGACATCAAGTTAATAGTCCACATACAAAATAATGTCAACATACATTTTGTCTTTTAGATTTTAACAAAATGTCTTTTAGTTTTCAACAATAGCCATGTATTGTTGTTATAGTTTGGAGGATTCATGTACCAGAAGACATTTCAGGATAACTAAACATTGAAGACAATACACGTCTGTCATGAAACCTGACTTGTTTTTAAATAAAGTTGGCTTGTAATACTAGGAAACTAGAATAAAGTTGGCAATACTGCATTTGGTTAAATGGTGTGTCCTTGTCCTTCCTTGTAAATATTCTTTCCTCCAAGCTTTCAACTGAATCACATCTCAAGTCTAAAAGTAACAAACTTCTACGGTCATATGTTGGTCTATTTGATGAATGCATATTCGTACTGAAACACAACAAACAAAGGCATGATGCTCAATGTAACGTAGATGGAAGATGAAGGGTCACTGACGAAGCCTAGTCATATAAGCATAGAATTGATAGCGGATTGGGGATTTTTACAAGTCACAATAATAAGGAAGTTTAAAATACGTAGAAATCGGAAAGGAGGGGATAAAGCAACCATCATCTGGAAAGAGGCCGTCTTGAGGCGTGATCGGCCAAGTGACTGGAGTCTGGAGTGTTCACCAATGCTTGGGTTAAAAATTATTTTGTCCAATATATATATCTCTCTTTCTTTGTTACACTGAGATGCATAAATTACAACTAGCTGCCATAGGTTATGTGGATCTCCTAAAACTATTATACACTGTAAGGAGAGCTATAATTTTGGTGACACTATGCCAACAGTGTTTGCTGTTGATTTCAACACCTTAATATCTTGACTACATTGCAGGCTACAGAGTTTGGAATTGCGACCTGACAACCGCTACAGAGGTTCTAGGCACTGGATGTAGCGGCTAGGTACCAATGCCAATTACTAAAGAATGAGCTTTGCTACAGGGAGCCAAAATATGAGACCAATAGAGGGGACAAGTGAGATGTCTCCCTCTTATTGGATAATTAGTTGGCCATCATTAATGATGGCCAACTCATTATCCAATTGGTGGGAGACATCTCACTTGTCCCCTCTATTGGTCCCATATTTTGGGTCCTTGAGGAATTTTTCATAAAGAATAAGTCAAGTAACTAAGATAAGCATACGTATCATGTGAATCCAAAACCACTTTTTTTAGTATCCAAGTGATGATGAACGCCAGAAACAAGACACTCAGATCGAACCTCACGGCACAAATCAACTACTTTATTAAACATATAAAAAAAGAAAAGAAAACAGAATATACACCTTTTAAAAAATTCCTAAAATCACCTACCTCAGGATTAGTTACAACCGAACAGATAACGGGCTAAATATCAGAAAAGCACCCTCAATTTTGGACTATTATCACATAATCCCACATAATTTTCAAAATATCAAGAAACCCCTTGTTTAGGAGTTATCAGAACACACCCCCCACCCACCCACCCCTCCTTAAACTTTGAGATATTTCCAGAGAAACCTCCTAAAAGGGCGAACCTCAATTTTTACTGGCAAAAACAACCCCTGCATAATTTTGCAGACCCATGTGAAAATTTAATTAACGCTGTTTAGAAGGGTGGGGGGTTCTGATAATTTAAAAATAAATAGTGCAACTACCCAGTTAGAAAAAGTAGAGTGGCTGCAGGCCTATCAATTTGTTTTTCTTTTTTTCCTAGTGGCACGCCAACTATATCTCAATAAAAAAGTTCCAACGGATCAAATCATTAAGAGCAACTCCAACCGGACTGCAGTTCTCCACGTATACGTTCTTTGAGGGTTGAACGAGTCCTTTTGACAATAGTCCATTCCTCCGTCGTGAGTTTAGCAGAGACATGAGTGATTGGTTGTTGAGACAACTGACCCATTCGATGTCTCCTCGACTTTAGGTCCGCGTGATAACGAACCCCGTCGGTTTGTTCCAAGGCTTTAGCCATTTGGCGAGCACGGCGTTGGCGTTGTCTCTGACGAGCTCTTTTCGTCAATGCCGGCGGGTTTTGATTCGATGACTTTTTAACTAGATAAGAGTCATTGTGAGCAGAGGTGTTGCGAGTGAAATTCTCAGCAACAATCAAGCGAGAGTCTTCATTTTGTGCCTTCTTTGGCATGTAAGTCTTCCTCAATTGTGAGATCCTCTTGTACTTGCGAGACAATGAAGATCTTGAAGAGGATGATGAGAGATATTCCTCAAACTTGGTCTGGTCGAATTCGTATTCGACCATGGATTCAACTGGAATCTTGATCGGCTGCGACACGACGGTCTCGGCAGCGAGACCGTTAGCTCCCACTGTGGTCGCCAGCTTGTTTGCGTCAAAAGTTGGTTTTGTTATGGAATTCATTATATCTTCAGTCGATTACAATAAATTCAAAAGAAATAGCCTTTTTATAAGACTTCTTTTACACAACAAAAGGAAAATTACAACTTTTTAGAAAATATTATTATATAATATATTATTATATAATTAATTTATAAAATATTATTATAGTTATTATATATATGACATACTATTATAATATAATATAATAATTACTAATATTAGTAAAATATTATGATATAATATAATATAATACTATAGTTTGAAATAATATAATATATTAACTATAACATGATACATTTTAATATATATTATTGTAATTATCATGTTATATATATATATATATATATATATATATATATATATATAATTTTTTAATAAAAATAATATCATTGGAAATGTCTCGTCGATACCTTCAAAATGAGACCAATATCGAAATATAAAATTGCAAAACAAGTAATTAGAAATGATAATACATTGAAAATTAAACGCAAATAAAACACATTAACTTAGAATTACATTGAAACTTTAATAAAACACATTAATAATATTATTTATATTATATAACTTTTATCATTTTTATTATTTTTATATATTTAAAAAACATTTCATTATTTTAAACTTATGATATATTTTATATTTTATAATATATTTGATTACATTAACTTTGAATTATATCATTTCATTATATTATATGTTATAATTTTAGTATTAATTTATAATATATTTTATATTTTAAATTAACTCATATATTTTTTTAACATTTTATATTTTTTATATTTTCAAAATTATTTAAAGTATTATATAAATAACCATTTAAAAATACCAATAGAGCTTCCTATAGAGGGGAATGGTTGGAGTTTCTCCCCTCTAAAAAAGAATAATAAATAGAATATTCTTTGGGGAGGCTGCATTTTGCAGCCTCCCCCATTGAAGTTGCTCTGATACGAGTGCGTCTGAAATAGAATGCAGCTTCCCCCATTGAAGTTGCTCTGATACGAGTGCGTCTGAAATAGAGGAGTGGGACCCTTACTAGTGTACCCAAGGGGCTGGACTTGGTTTTCGTGATTGGAGTGCTAATTAAGAGTTAAGTTAAGGGTAGTGATCAAATCATTCATACGAGTGCGACTGAAATAGAGGAGTGGGACCCCCGCCGGGAGACTGTCATCAGATTCACTGTTTATGTAGAATGAAATTGTTGGACGGGAGTGAAAGAAAGGAAAGTACACGGCATCTAGACCACTTTCAAATACGTGCGAGAGTAGCCAACCCTGTTGGGAAAAGAACGATCCGAATCTTGCGTCTAATACTCTCTTACGTTTGCATATTTTAAAATTAGTCCTCCAAAACTGTAAGTGTTCTAAATTATCCTCTCTTACATCTTCATATTTCGCAATTGGTTCCCCAAGTCCTTTAAATATTTTAGAATAATCATGTAGTTAGCACGGGATCAAGACATTTTGGGGACGAAACGAAAGTAAGAAGATTTTTGCTTAACTGCAAAAATCATTACAGCCTGAAACCATCGAATTCCAAGAAAAAACATCTCTGTAGGGCATTCATCATCGAACACCCTCCAAGTAATTCAAGGCAAGACATGGATAGCATATAGAAATAGGATGTATTTGACGTTTCGGGTTCATAGATAGAAAGGAAAAGTTTTTCAGCTTTAAACATAAATGGGGTTCGAAAATTTAGGGTTTAAAGGTAAAAACTCCAAAGGCTTTTCTGGATCACCAGCCGACTCAGAACCAACATCAGTAATTTGTGGGCAGGAGGCTTTGATTAGCTCTTAGCGCTTCCCGCGAGCAAGAACGAGCGGATAGCGAAATGTTGGAATAGTAATCACCTACATCTTATTTATGCGGACACCCATGGAGCCATAGCCGCGACACCAACTCAAACTAGATACCTAGTCTTAAGTGGAGAGATCAATGGCCTCCCGCGACTCTTCCAAGCTTCCGCAAATAAACTTCTCCGGCCTTTCCCTCGCAAGCTCCGGCAGCGAGGAGTGGACCACGGCGCGATCGCAGGTCATGCGAGCACTCAGTGAACTCACCGCGTTCGAGATAGTGTACGACACGATCACTCCGGAGATAAGAGAGGCGGTATTTGGCAAGGCGTTGAAGGAGTTATTTGCTTTGCCAAATGAGGCCAAGATTCGAACTAATTGCCCCGAAACGCCTGGCCACAATAACTACAGCGTCGTTCTGGGCTCCGATTACGAAGCCCTCACCATCCCCGACTTTAACGTTGGCCGTAACTTCGATAAGTTCGTCGGCCTTTTAATGGGCGAGAAAGGCAATCCAGAGTTTCGGTACATACATGGCTTCTTTCAATCCGCATAAATTAATTTCGCAAACCCCTGAACCTATACATATATAATATTTTGGGATGAACCCTGTACACTTTCTGTCCACCAAAATATAATAACAGTTAATTTAAAATGTTAAGTACTACTACATGACATGTTTCCTTTTTCCTTTTTTTTTTTTCTTCTTTCCAAGCTGAGCTAGTTTAATATTAGCAATACTATCCAACGTATAGATATATACTATTATCTCAAATTCAAAATTTAGAGTCGAAAAATGAATATTCAATTATAGATAAGATCTACTTCATACGAACCACTTAGAAACAAATTTTCAAAAGGTTTCAATGTGTTTTGGGTCACTTATCCATCACGAAAAAGTCTTTTCAATGTGTTTGCACCTTATACGTACGATTATTCTATAAGCCATCGTGAAATTTACTTTGTAAACTTTTGTAATCCGTGCCTTCTCTAAAAATAGTACACATGTATGGACAGGGACGTTGTGTACACCTTCATGATGCTTCTAATGGAAGTGGACCAAATGGTGAGAAAAATGATATTTGAGGGGTTTGGAGTGGAGAAATATTTTGACAAACATTTGGAATCTTATGAGCATTACATGCGATTCTCCCACTATGGGCCTCCGAAGACCCGCGACCAGCCTGCGAATTCCCTAGCCGTCCATACCGATATGGCGTTCAGTACCGTCCTCTGCCAACATGAAGAGGAGGGGCTTGAGATTCTCACTAAGGATGGATCCTGGATCACACCGTCACGCAACTCTCTCACCTTTATGGTCGGTGACGAGTTATCTGTAAGTAATTGCGATTTCAAATTAATACTTTAATTATTAATTTAATTGCTCCAGTTAAATCTAACCCTATACCGGATAAAGTTTTAAGGTTTCCATGAAATTTATCCTTAAGATTATTATAAAGAACATGATGTTGCGCGCCTTTGCGGAAGCGTGCTCGTACACCGAACGAGTCGATAAGCCACGGGAGAAGAGAACCAAATCAAATACGAGTGCAGTCCAACCAAATACGACAAACCAATCACAAACACAGAGATATACGTGGTTCGACAATTTGCCTACGTCCACGGGGAGAGGATGGGGGATATTTCACTATATCGAGGAGAGTACAAAAGTGTTACAATCACTCAAACACTCGAACAAACCCTTACCAATGATCTCTCAACTTGCTCTCAAGTTCTCCCTCTCAAAGTGCTCAGAATACTCTCAAATCTCTGGTTAAGAAACCCTAAAAATCGTGTTTAAATATATATCAAAACACAAAACCAAACATGTCAGAAAATAAATCCAGGCCCAGCTCGATGCACGGTCGACCGTACCAGTCTTGGCAGTCGACCGGCCAGTAGACTGAAAAATCAGTCTAACACTTACAGGGTTCATGGTCGACCGCGAAGACTGTGGCGGCCGACTGGCCAGAAAACTAACAAACACCCTGTATTTGTGCACGTTTCCGGTAGACCACACATTTCATCGCGATCGACCGGACAGAACCAAAATCTATAGTTCTGAGTTTTTCTGAGTTTCGCTGTCTCTTCAATTCTACACCTCGGTAAAGTTTTTCCAAAACTGAGCTGACACCAAACAAAGAGCACCACTGCGTCGGCTCTCCAAACTCGGCTGCAACAATGTGGTTGCCTACGTACCCCTCTCCTAAGGGATCAAGCCGCTCGTAGTTCATCCAAATGGCCGTCAACAGCCTCAACAATCATGAATGTGTAACAAGTTTCTACAATGATCGAACTTGTTGCTCGGAACCACCTTTATGAGCATATCCGTCAGATTATCCTTTGTGTGGATTTTCACAATCTCCACATCGTCATCTTCAAGAACATCTCGATCGAAGTGATAACAAACGTTAATGTGCTTCGTCCTTACATGAAAAACCCGATTCTTCAACAAATAGATAGCACTCATGCTATCACAATGAATAGTGACGGCCGTTGCGATATACCAAGTTCCTATAAAAGTCCCTGAAGCCAAATAGCCTCCTTAATAGCCTCCATAATTACCATATACTCTGTTTTCGTCATCGATAAAGCCACCGTAGACTGTAAGGTACATCTCCAACACACCTACTCATGGGTCAAAGTAAACACATATCCCATTGTAGACTGACGCTTATTCAAATCACCAGCATAATCCGAATCAACATAGCCAATGCACAACTGTCCACCTCTAGTGTCCCACTCGAAAACCAAACCAACATTGAGAGTACCTCGAATGTACCTCAAAATCCATCTCAAGGCGTCCCAATGACTCACTCCTAGATCGTGCATGTATCTCAAAACTATGCTCACCGCATGTGGCAAATCCAGCCTTGTACATACCATCGCGTATATCAAGCCCCCAACTACGCTCACATAAGGAGTGTTTGATATCAACTCTCTATCTTCAACTGTCTTCGGTGAAAGGTCAGTTGAAAGCTTAAAATAGGCTCCTAACGGTATACTAACTGGCTTCATCTCCATGCTAACATTAAACCGCTGTAGAACCTTCTTCAAATAAGCCACCTGTGTCAAACAATTTTTTCCCTTGTCTTTGTCTCTGCCGATTTCCATCCCCAAAATGTGCTTTGTCTCACCCAAATCTTTCATCTCAAACTCTTTTGAAAGTTATGTCTTCAACTCATCTATAGCGGATCTGAAAATAGAAGCAACCAACATGTCATCGACATAAAGTAACAAATAAATGTACGCACCTCCTTTTAACTTGTAATAATACACACAAGGATCAAACTGGTTCCGAGTGTATGAATAACCGGTCATGAAACCATCAAATCGCCTATACCACTGTCGAGAAGATTGCTTCAAACCGTATAGCGATTTCTTTAGTCTGCAAACTAACTTTTCTTTCCCTGTAGCTTAGAATCTCAATGACTGCGTCATATATATTTCTTCATCAAGATCACATGAAGAAATCCTGTCTTCACATTCAACTGATCTAACTCCAAACCATACCGTGCCACCAAAACTAGCATAATCCGAATCGAAGAGTGCTTCACTATCGGAGAGAAAACCTCATTATAATCAATACCTTCCTCGTGTGCATAACCCTTCGCAACCAACCTAGATTTGAACCTCACGAGAGTGCATTCAATGCCCTCCTTCTTCGTGGATACCCACTTGCAACCAATCACCTTCCGTCCCTTTGGAAGCTCAACAAGCTCCCATATATCGTTCTTATGCAGAGACTTCATCTCCTCCTACATAGCCACCTGTCATAAATTAGCCTTTGAACTCTGCTCGGCCTCTCTGAATGTAGTAGGCACTATCTCATCGATACTTTTCACCGGAAGTGCATACGGAACTACTATGTCTGTATACTATGCTGGTATCCGTCTGTCTCTCATCTGTCTCCAAACCGTAATAGAATCATGAACCTGAGCCGTCAGTCCCTGATTCTGCTCATATGTACCCGTATCCTCCAAATCACCATTGTGCTCGCCAGACATCATCTCAATCGGCATTCTAATGGATACTGTACTGTTGGCGTCAAAAAATGCTAATAGATATCCCAGACATAGAGAAAATCACTCAAAGGCAAGAATGAACTGTCTCGTCAGCAAAGACAGGCTTTGCTGTCTCGCCAGCGAGACAGTCTTTGCTGTCTCGCCAGCGAGACAGTATTGAAATGGTCAAAACTGCCTTTGTAAATGCCCGACACGTGGCCACTAACTGTTCAAGAACGTGGAGAACGTCGTGGGCGAGAATCACGTGGATAACTGTCAAAATAACGGAGTTTGAAACGTGGAGAGGCAGTTAAAATGAAAACTGCCTGGCGGTTACTGTTTGCGAGACAGCGTTTACTGTCTCACGGGCCCTTGAGTTTCTGGCAACTCCTTGATATTCAGGCTTTGACTTGATTTCAAGAAGAACGACTATCTTACCTTGATAAGATATCGTTTCAAGTTCTCACTTCGATAAACGAAGTCAGAATCATAAACCCCTCACGATTCGATCAGAATCTGTGATTTGGTGGTCCACGGGCTAACGCACCCCCGGCACAGGCAAAGATCCCACGCAAGCAGCGATCCAAACAACGATCCTGCGTTTGTTTCCCAAGAGTTGTAATTTTCATTTTGTTGTGTAAAAGAAGTCTTATAAAAAGGCTATTTCTTTTGAATTTATTGTAATCGACTGAAGATATAATGAATTCCATGACAAAACCAACTTTTGACGAAAACAAACTGGCGACCACAGTGGGAGCCAACGGTCTCGCTGCCGAGACCGTCGTGTCGCAGCCGATCAAGATTCCAGTTGAATCTATGGTCGAATATGAATTCAACCAAACCAAGTTTGAGGAATATCTCTCGTCATCCTCTTCAAGATCTTCATTGTCTCGCAAGTACAAGAGGATCTCACCATTGAAGAAGACTTACAGGCCAAAGAAGGCACAGAATCAAGACTCTCGCTTGATTGTTGATGAGGATTCTACTCGTAACCTCTCTGCTCATAATGGCTCTTCGCCAAGTAAAGAGTCATTAAATCAAAGCTCGCCGGTACTGACGAAAAGAGCTCGTCAGAGACAACGACAGTGCCGTGCTCGCCAATTGGCTAAGGCGTTGGAACAAACCGACGGGGTTCGTTATCATGCAGACTTAAAGTCGCGGAGACATCGAGTGGTTCAGTTGTCTCAACAACCAATCACTTATGTCTCTGTCAAACTCACGACGGAGGAATGGACTATTGTCAAAAGGACTCGTTCAACCCTCAAAGAACGCATACAAAAACGTCGTGCAAACGCTGCTCATGCCCGTGCTCTCTTACAACAAAGACGAGAAGGGAAGAAGGAAACGGTGGCCAAAGAAACACCGAAACTCCGCCAAATTTGGATTCCAAAGTCTGAAGTTGTAAAAAATCAGCATTCGGAGCCCGTTAAGACTCCATACTCACAAGGGGGTGGTTTTAAGCGTGCGACTCCTGACATAACCTTGGATCGCTCAAAGACAAAAATAAATTGTCCTGAGAATACCAACAAGGTTTTATACCCCCAGAAGAAGACATATTCACCAAATGATATCGTCATACCTGGGAGGTCATACCAAACAATACGATTTTTTGGCAATCATACCGATGAATCGTATTATCAAGTTAAGGGTGTGAATAAATCTCGAAAAAGATTTATTCACTCGCATTGTTCCTGTGCACGACTTATAAGATCAGCTGTCCAAGATGATGAATTCCCTGAAGTCACCATCAACGTAGCTGATAAAAGAAAGTCTAAGTGGCATTCAAGTGACTCAAATCCTGACTTTTCCCCGAAAGGAAGAGTCAATCCAAGAATCGCTCAAATGATGTCTCGACTCCAATTAGGAGCCATCAGACGCAGAGATTACAAAAGAATGCAAGAAGGAACGTCTTCGGAGGATGAATTCTCGGACACTTGTTCTGCGATCGCTTCTGATGATACAATGTCTAGCACGGGACAAACCAGAGAAGTACTCACGATCACCTCTGATCAATTTGCCCAAATGCTTCAAGAAGCTCTAACGAAGCAACGTGAAGAAATTAGAGCTGAGATGAAGACAGAGATAGAGTTAGCTATTCAACAAATGAGAGAGTTGCTAACTCAACAACCTCAACCTCCTGAGTCCAGTCAGCGAGCTGAATCCAGATTGTGGATGACAGTAATCCAGAAGTGGATGAAGTCATTATGGCTGATACACCTCCCAATAGCAATAACGCTGGGGGTGGTTTAACACATTCTCCCAATAATGATATTGGGAGTGGTTCAATGGCACCTCTTACAGGGGGTGATCTAACTCATTCTCCTCAACGTCA